CAGGAATGATGGTGAACATGAATTATCTTAATCTCCATTTATCCTTCCATTTAAACTGTGAAAGGTATCGGTTTAGAGATGAATATTGCCAACAACTATTTCCATCAATACTTCAGTGGTGCAATGCAAAAAAAGCCCAGTTAATGTAAAGGTAGACTAGCTTCCTTGACTTCATTGAATTACCTTCCATTTGTTCAACTAAATTCTCTTAATAGCAATTTATTTTACATCACCCAATAGTAACTACTGTTTATACATGAAGTAAAAAAGCTAAGCCAACTATTTATGTCAGAGCTTATATTATATTTGGTATTACATTTCTAGCCCTCACTTTTGGAAAGTACCTATGATGATACATGAACTAGCATTTTGAAAAGAATATAAACTAGATCTATTTTCATTAATGGAAATGATGGAAGTGAAATACTGAGGTTGGAATTATTGATTTGTTCTTCCTACACTTTTGTCTGTCGTGCTATTAGGATACTATATTCTGATGCATACTGAAAAAGGAGATATTTATTCTTCTCTTCTGATAATGAAAATATATCGAGATTTCACAAGAAATAAATTCTTGAAAAATAGTCACAAAATATATTTGATACTCAGTTATATTTGATATTCAGTTTAAATAACCTCTGGTATTTTAAAATAAGATCCATTCCAAAGAAAATCTATATTCTGCTCTCAGCTGTGATAGCAGCATCACTAAATCAAATAAAGCTATTTAAGCGTAAGTGAATAAACTCTCAACATACATAAGCTGGGTTTGAATTATTATATTAATAAATAATTTCAAATTAGGTAAGATCTGACCTAGTGTAATGCTTTCTGCTTTTGTTAACATCTTTAATTTATTTCTTGTTTATCTTCCTCATCCAACAGAACAATAAGCTCAACATCTGTTGTCACTACAGGGCATGTTTGGCAACATGTAACCGCCAAATGTCGGTATCTAGAAAGGATATTTCTAAGAGAAATGCACCGTAACATCTGTGTATGAGGCTGTTTTTTGACTTCCTTCTTTTCTAGCAACATTGCTGGTTGTGGGTACTACTGCTGGTACCACATTGCCCATATGGGTACCTCTTCTGGGAGATCAGATGGCTTATATTTCTGCCTGATCCTTCATTCAGTAAAGGATTAGTTTTATTGTATTCTTAGAGGTCCAAATCTTCTCTTCCCTCCCAGCTTCAAATCATAGCAAAAATCACACACATTCACACTACAGGCAACAGGTAAAAGACTTTTCCTTCAGATCTGTTCCTTGGGGTCCAATGCCCAAAGACAGACATTCAGGTCTAAATACTGCGAAGAACGACTTCAACCCCCAGAAGAACATGAGATCTGACAGTAGCAGGGATTACGGCAGTTTTGTCAAAATTGAGACCTTTTATTGCTCACAGTTATCAGAAAAATGTTAGTAATTATAGTACATTAAACAGCAAATTAAAGTACAATAAATGAGTATTGCTAGAGTTAGAGGCAAATACTCAAAAGTTAAAAGTTCCCTAGAAGATGGGATTTAGGTGTCTAGATCTGAAACTGCTTCTGATTTTTGTTCAGCTCCAAGTTACAAAGTGTTCTAGTTACAAAGAAATGCAGGTGTCCCAAAAATTCCAAGGTCTTTTTTTAACACTTAAAAGTATGCAAATTGTCTCAAAGGTAACAAACCACACATTCATAATACAAACAAATAAGTATCATATCCTTTACCTAAAATAAAGGAACATGAAATTTTTTTCAGAGAAAAAAAAAAAATCCCAATTTTTGTTTGTAACAATAAAGCCATATACACTTCTTTCTCACCCTGATCTAAGTCTGGTCCACTTGTGCTGAGATTTTAAAGCAAAAAAACTAAAAAGTAAAGGCAACACATCAAGCTGAGTCAGGCGGAGAAAATTTCAATCCCTATTGTTAAAGAATAGCAAAGTTAGGCTGAGAACAACAATACAGTATATTGGATAACCTTAACATTAGGCTACTTACACTAGAGTTGTTTACCATTGAACAAGATTATATGCGACTATAAATGCTTATTC